CACCCACACCCACACCCACACCCACACCCACACCCACACCCACACCCACACCCACACCCTCATCCACCCACCCACACCCACACCCTCACCCACCCACCCACACCTTCAGTTGCTGAGAGTTTCAGCTTGGCCGGAGAAGGTTACCGTAAAGGTGGGAGATTTCTGGTGGAACTACCCAATAATCAAATATCTCTTCAGGGTGGGTTCAAAGATGATTTTATATCTCTTGATAGGTTTCCCAGAAAGAGCTAAAAATTAGGATTTAAGCATAACTTTCCAGGGGCTTTCGAATGATAAACCTTAAATCAAAATCAAAATTTTGACGACTTACGATACCGTCAAAATTTGGTCGATATTCTGGCGGACTCTCTCTTAATCTTATAAAATATCTGACATCAACAATTATTCTATTATTTACAGGATATTTTCATCTTGAGAAATTCACTATTGAAATAAATTTTACCTGCTTCATTTTACCGAGTTGTGCTCTTTTTAAAATTCCCATACGACGTTCGCTGTTTGCAGTGGTTCGTTGCTCTGGTTCTTGAATCATTAAACATTCAAATGATCTAACAAGTCGTTGTCGATGGCGACTAAGATCACCTAAAAGAAGGAAATTATAGATGCTCATGAGATTTAATCAAAACCAAACAAACAAATACGAAGTTTAGACCAAGTTGGTATGGTTGGTAGAAGTGATGTTGTAAGGTATTTAAACCATCTTAAAATACCGTGGCGAGCAGGTTTTCGTGCTTCATCGATAGAAATTCCAATATCTTTCAAGCAATCATCGAAAATATTATTGAGAATTGATTTAAAAGGTGAAACTGTGGCGTTTGTTTCTGCTTCTTCATCAATAAAAATCGATGTAAAAACGAAATAGGTATAGCTTAAAAAAAGGAAAGAGGTATGGATTTTTCGATAGAAGTGCCGTATCGCAATATTGAGAGAATTGTACATTGAATTTTTAGGAGAAACTATTTTTAATATTATTATTTATTGCTACAAAGCAATTGTCTTCTATTACTAGTATCGCTAATTGATAGCTTGCTCATGAGTAAGTCGCTCAAAATGAGTCTAATCTTCTGATTTGATATTTTGTCGATAAATAGAAGTAACTGAGACTAGAAGGTATTCAAAAGAATCAGAACTCATGCATTTGCAAACTTATAACGCATTTATTGAATTTCATTATAAGATATTTAACAAAGAAACAATTGAATAATGAAGCGTAGATCTCATATTCTATTCGTGTATAGGTTCCAACTTTTTTCGAACATCCTAAAAGTTTCAGCGCAAATAAATGTTCATTTCCCAAGATAATGGATGTACAAGAAAACTCGATTTTTCTCAACTCTTTGTGAAATACAGGTGTTTCTTGTATATTTATAGACTGGAGAAGGGACACCTGTTTATATTAAACCTTTTAGGACATTCAAAAAAACTTGGAACCTATACGTTGACAGAATATGAGATTCATCTTTTCTTATTAAATTTGATTTGTTATATACTTTATATGAGACGAAATGCACTAAAGGTCTTATAACTTTGCCAGAAAAGCACATAGACTATTATAGCTATGGATACCTTTCAGCCTCAGCTAGTCCTACTGATGGATAAACTATTAGATCAAAAATTTTAGTTTACTTTGAGCAATTTCCTAGCCTGAACGCATGCGAATAGCATTCTCTGAAATGTATTCAATTATTTATTACTATATTTCAACACTTTGTACCAACATAAAGTTTTGCCACAATATGAGAGATTTTTGAAGAACCTTATTAATGAGACAACTTACTCTGTCGTTTTTCTTTCTTGATGGAGTAGTTTGAGATATGTACGTGGAAAATTGTTCGTTTTGTTCTTGATCATCAGCAATATCATCATAATCAAATTGATTATAATTTGCTGTTGAATTAGATGGTTCTGGTTCAGTTGATTGCATAACAGTACAAATATTTGGATCAGCTCGAATTTTAGTAATCTTGTCAAGTAAAGCATCTTGATACTCTACATTCATAGTTTCACCGCCAATATGCATCTGTAGAAGAGCAAAACATGTAAGTTTCCAGTTGTGCATCATTTCTTTCCAGGTAGACGTATTGATAAGAAGGGCAATGCACCACATCGCCAAATTACGAATGTTTTCATCAAATAATTTATTTACGATTTTCCTTACAGCCTATATAAAAAACGTGAGACATCATTTCGCAAGATAGAAACTACTTACTAATAAAACATGAGACAAACAGGCATGGATATTTGTTAGCTTATAATCGATCTCACTTGCTTCATTTGTAACAATATGATAAGCTCGATGGAGAAATTGGCTTGATGTTTCAGAATTCCATATTTGCAGGGCAGCTGTTAAAAAACCTCAGCACGGTCACTTAAAACCATATTTAATCGTGGAAAATCTTGCCCAGGAAAAACCTAGAAAATATACAATAATATCATATGTTAAAAAATACTTTTCTTAGATTTTTGTGAATATGCTCATTTCATTGATACATTTCAAAAATATAAGTTGAATTTAACTGTTCATATATTAGTTATTTTCAGAAACTTTGGTACGAGCTCAGAGCCACATGGAATATCCCACTGGGAGCAAAATCCACTTAGGGAAAGCCCTTTGCTCGCGTAACTCACCTCATATATAAGCGCCGTGACATGGGAGCATGCAGAGCTTCCCAAAAAGCTACGACCCATTGATGTGTTTGTGTACACAGCGACGTGTACCATTGATCGATTGTATGAAATAACTTGATTAGTTGAATATTTACAACTCCACCTATTCAACTATTCAATAATTGAATATTCGAATTGATAGTTGAATAGCTGAATTCAACTTTCAAGTTTGATACTGCTGAAAGAACGGAAATAAATACAAACCTGCAGACTTCTGACTGATGTATGTATGTTCAATAACTGTTTCATCAATCGTTAAATAGATTGTTCATTAGAAAAAAAAGTAAACAAAAACATTGAAGTAAGCACTTAGTTTAGAATAGCTATGCCGAAACATTTACATCCAATGTAAAACGTTCACTAAGCCATGAGCATCGCTTATCATAAATCTGATTGGAATAATGCTATCTTGAGTTACTACACCTGGCAATGTCATACTTAATTCATAATACAGTAATTGTAAAGAATTATTTTGTTTAATAATTGAACCGGTAGCATCCCATGAAACTACGATGTTCTTATGTTTTAGAAGAGCATCATTGTTAGGACGAATCATTATTATCATCAAATCGATAATCACAATGACGAACAACTAGACCAAAAGGAAGAAGAAAAACAAACAATAATAACGTAAACTCAAACTAAAACAAAAAAGAAACAACAATCCATATATATACTTAGGGTGTACCAAAAGTTCTGATCACGACGTTACATAGCCATATAGTAAGCTTAAAAAAAACTTTCTTTCTATATAGTCTAATAGAGAAAAGAGTGCTCTATTTTGCTATGCTATTTGATCATACTTCAAATAATAATATGATAATAAATTTTTGATAACACTTTTTTTTTTGTTATCATTTGTGCTCATAGTACTAGATCACAAAGGATGAGNATCATTATTATCATCAAATCGATAATCACAATGACGAACAACTAGACCAAAAGGAAGAAGAAAAACAAACAATAATAACGTAAACTAAAACTAAAACAAAAAAGAAACAACAATCCATATATATATATAGATATATAGATAACGAAAAACATAGATATAGAAATAGAGACATAGAGGATAGTGACTGATGTTAGGGAACGACAGGTGGCGTACCCTAACAATCTTCCCCACCAACAGAACAAAAAGTGTGTCCTCACACTTCGAATGATCATGGTAATTTTTTGTGAAGTATCATGTGTCGACAAGAAAACGAAGCATAAGAAGAAAAAGTTTGATCGACGATATTTCCATTTACGAAAATAGAACCATAATTGAACGATTTCATGTGGGAAATGATATCGAAATGAATGGTTATATGAATAATCCTGTTCGTTACGAACGATCTTACATGCAATATCATTGTATGGTGATCCAGCATGGAAGTTTAGAATTGAAAAATCTCGATTATTTTCGCAAACAGTAAGACAATACGATGGTGTTTTGGTTTTACCAATTAAATCAAGATAGAAAATATTGAATTTATAACCTGGAACAGTTTTCGGTGGAGGATTATTTGCATCATAATGATTTTTATTGGATTGATTCCAATCATAACCAGTGTGAACTTTCTTAAAACCTCGAAGTTTACGTGGTCGATGTTTATCAGACCATAAATATTGAATATCCTGTGGTGCAACAGGGTTGATTAATGAATGATCAGCTGTTAAACTACATATACTTTCAACAAAAGGTTCAAAAATATTTTCAACATAAGTTTTAACAGAATCCGATTTAATAACGGGGTTATCTTGTTGTTTTAATTTATTCCAATCCTCTGTTTCATCTGTACATCGGCGTTGAATGTTCAAATCCGGATCATTTATATTAACTAATATAGGTGAATATCGACCTTGTTCATGTTCATGTATACATTTATTTTCTAAATCTTCAAAAAATTCGATTTGATGATCATTAAATAATTCTAATTGATTATTTTCAGCATCTTGTTGTTTTTCTGATGTTATTGAAGTTGAAGTGATATTGAATGAAGTGGATATAGGAACAGGCAATGTATTCTGTTCTTGTTTGATTCCTTGTAATTGTTCTGTAAATGCTAATTGATGTCGATCATGAAGATGTGGTGATGAAAATGGCGGTTGTTGAAATCGTTCTCGAAATCCAATACATAATTGTGACCAAGTACCTAAGGAATCTTTATTATTGTCATACCACCATTCAGCTCGTCCACTCAGTTTTACTTTCAGTAAAATATGTAATACTTCATCAGGTTCTTTAGTCAATGAACCAATGCTTCCAATTTGTTCTATATATTCATCAGCATCTTGAGAAAGATCACCTGTAACTGGTTGTAAATTTCGATAACGTTCTTGTTGAGCTTGTAACAGAATAGCAGTAGCCATGGTAAAGTTGTTATTGATGTATGGAACCGTCCTGAATAGGAAGTTCACTTAAATGAAATTTTCAATATATAAATTTTAATTTATTTCTCAAAAAAAAAAGGATGGATCAATCCTGTGATCAGGATGTTCCACAGTTTACGTTTGAATAAAATATGGATCTTAATAATAATCTTGACTCGGTGATGTTCTTCACGAGGATCGGGTCACGGCACCAATGTTACGACGAATCATTATTATCATCAAATCGATAATCACAATGACGAACAACTAGACCAAAAGGAAGAAGAAAAACAAACAATAATAACGTAAACTAAAACTAAAACAAAAAAGAAACAACAATCCATATACATATATAGATATATAGATAACGAAAAACATAGATATAGAAATAGAGAGAGAGAGGATAGTGACTGATGTTAGGGAACGACAGGTGGCGTACCCTAACAATCATACAGACGGGTGGATGATTCCGAATACACAATAACTTGACATGGATATTTTGAAATTAATTGAATAGCACCTGGCACCTTTCCACCAGCATTAACTTCATTTCGATATTGTTCATTCAATTTAAGTAAACCATCATCAGCATCTGGTGAAAGTAATGATTCAGTGATAGCTTCAGACTTAATCTTTTGCAAAATAGTTCGACTTTTCCAGTTGCATCATAATTTCGTCTTTGTCGTTCTTCAATTGATCGAGCTTGTAATCTATTTTGGTACATGCGATAAACTGATGCACCAACATTGAATTACTGTTTAATTATTGAACGAAGTGGAGTACGAATAGGACGACATATTTTACTATTTTGCTTGTGTCGGACATTGTTGTTGCCAACAATAATATGACCAGTTCCATCATTTCGAATAATAACTGAACATCGGAAAGGACACGTAGGATGTCCAGAACATCGAAGATCACAACGTAGCAATTGCTGTAATTCATTTAATTGAACACCAAAAGTACAATTACGGACACATAGCCCACAATATGGATTCATTTGTTTAATATACGGATGAAGAATATAAAAGTATTCCACGTCAACTCTTGATGATTTGTTTGTTTTATCATTTGTTGATTTAACTACAGCTGCAAGATAAATAGAATAATCAAATAGTTTTTTGTAAAACCATTGAAAAAAATACGACAAGGACAAATATTTTTACTTTGAAAACAGTGGTGAAACTAGGATTTTTCTACATATTGAGTTTTAGTTTTAGAGCATTGTACCCACATGAAACTTTTAGAGGATGATATTTGGATTTAAATGCAGAGTTTTGATCAAGAAAATTTTACAATAGGAGTTTTGAAAAAAATTTCTAAGCCTCCCTAGGCTTTTCTTTTGCTGTTAGTAGTATTTAACTTTTTAGAATTTAACAGTAAGTTACATCGAATTTTACCAAAAAAGCATGCATTTATTCAAGAGTTTTAATGTTTTGAGTTTTCGCTAAGACTTTAGCAATATATAGCAAACATGCAAAATGAAATAGAACTATAATGCAACGAAAGTTTTGAATAAATTGTTCATAAATCAACAATTCATTTATTCTTGATATATATATATATATATATATATATTATTTTATTTTGTTATTTATTATCATAACAGGAACAAGCAAATGTAATATATAGGTGATATTGGTCTTGCAAATCATACCTACACAATAGCTCAACCAACAGCATTACATAGTGATGCAGATGGTCTCATTATGACCGAAAATCAAATAAGAAATAAGAGAAAAATAATTTCATCATCCTAACAGTTGCTTTTATTCCTATTGCGATAACACAGAAGAAAATAAAATAAAAAATATATATATGCCAAGAATAAATGAATTGTTGATGTATAAAAAATTTGATAAAAATTTTTGCTGCATTGTCATTTCATTTTATTTCGAATGTTTGCTACATGTTGCTCAACATTTAGCAGAGATGGAAAACATTGCAATTCCTGCGCAAATGTATATTTTTAAATGAAATTTTTGAAATCTGTCGATGAAACCAATTCGATGTAGCTTATTATTAAATTCTACAATCCTTACTCTTAAGACTTCAAGGTGCTGGAATAAGAAGACAAAATTATTTTTCAACTAATCTGATAGGTTTCATAAGGCAAATATTAATTGCTATGTCTTGTCAGAGACGTATAAATGATTGACGTATTGAGCAATTCTTTCGCTCAATACATTTTCTAGTCTTGAATCTTATATTTCTTGAAAAATGACATTAATATTAGATTTACAATGAATGTAATTATTTGTGCAAAATAAATGATTTCGAACTTTTTGCATGTAAATAAATAATGCTCGAAAAAAAAAATATTATTTATTCTTAAAATTAAATCTTATGGGATCAAGTCAAATAAATACCTATATCATGAGAAGTATTGTCAATCATTTTGTTCATTGGTCTAATTTGTTTTGATAAAAAGATTTTTTTGGGACGAATTGTTTTTTCTTCTAAAGTTACACCCATTTTTTCAAAGAATCGAGCTCGACGTTTATTGATTTTCTCGGTGCGTATTTTCAATAATTTAGCACGATCAACGGACTGAAGTTTAAATTGGTATGATTTTGGAAGTTCTGTAACAAAATCGTCAAATTCTGAACTGATGTTGGATCTATTTGATTGAACACCTGAAATTGAAAAAAACATATTCAACATAGCAAGAATTTAAACATTTATTTTTACATTAAAACTGAAAATTATCAGGTAAGACTACAATATTCTATATTCTTCTGAAGACTAGTGACTGATCACAAAACATGTAACTGTCTTCTGAAAGCGAATATGACTATTTTTTGTTTTCAAAAGTAAAATATCTATGGAATCAAAAATACAATTCATATAGAATAATGCATTTGACAAGGGCCTCATCAGATTTATGTCTAACTTTCACAAAGTATTACATATTGTAAAAGCTAAACTCATAATTTCTCTTGAAATTCTCTTGTTTATTATAATTTTAGTTTCATCCTATGCCAAAACACTTTTATTATATTGCAAATAATGTTTAAAAACCTTTAAGTACTGCAGTCGAGTTTAATCCAAATTTTCTTTTAAATATGAATGCAATCATTTGGTATGTAATAAAATAGTTTCAGTTTTTCGAAGTAAAAGAAAGCACTATGTAGACTGCATGTCATATGACGAAAGTATAGTTCTATTGAAGCATATATATGTGAAAGACATTTAAACATATTTTTTACAATATCTCAACTTCAACTTTGAATTGTTAACAAGATGTTGATACTTTTGTGTCAAGTAGTCTTTTAGAGTGCAAAATTCTTATAAAAATAGGTTAGATCATTTTAAATTAAACAAAAAAACCATTCAGCTGACTAGTAGATATATGGCTTTCAGATGTATTTGAACGATTATCAGGTGAAGCGTTGATTATTATTGATGATCGTGAATGTTGTCGATGAGATATTGATGATGAGAGTGTACCATCACCAGCGATATTGTTATTATTCGTATCATTGAAATGTAAGTTTTCATTAATACGTAAGCATTCATTATTCATTTCTTTTTCATTGTTTACATCGAATCTGATTTCAATGGAACTGTTCAATGAATATGTTGTTTGTTGACTAACATTTGTATCTAATGATTCATTCAGCATAGAAGAATTGAATTGATGTTTAGGAGATTGATTTGGTGATATTTCTAAATACAATAAATAGGTAGTAAAGTTTTATATATCTCAAATCCTATTTGCCTGTATCAGAAGACATCAAAAGTTGTTCATTCAATATCATATTTTGTTTTGTTAAATCTTGTGTGTTAGAATCAATGATGCAGAAAGTGTCTTTCTCAGAAGTCTTTTGAACATAGTACAAATAGAGCAAATATTATTTTATTAGAATATCAAATTTATAAACTTACTAAATCCTGATGATTAGTTGTTTCCTTATTTTCGTGAGTTTCGAGTGGAGATAAAGTTGAAAATGGAGAAGACTTTTGTGATAATGATGTTGTGTTGGAGTTAAGTATAATCTCATTGAAGACAAGCTTGTCTTCTGTTACTTTTGAATAGAATAGCATATATGCATCTGTATTAGTAAAAACTTGTTTAATATCCACTGGTGTAATAGTTTTGTCGTTTGCCTTATACCAAAGAGCATCAGGTGATCGAATGTAGGCATATATATGACCACTTGTTGGTTCTTCACCAAGATAGACAACGACAGCGTATAGTTCATAAATAGAAGAAGTATTTTGGCTATTTGCTGTATTCAAATTTTGACTGTTTTTGTCAAAATATGAAGTCAGATCGAGCAATGCTGGATAAGAAACAAATGTTTTAATTTTTCTAGTTGTATTTGTTTGTCGGTCATAGACAAATCGTTTTAAATGAATAGCAATAATAGGTAAAGCTTTAATTAAATGATAAGATTTTGTTGCTGATACTAATTGATTACATTGTAAACACTGGTAAGCATTCTCACCGCATAATAACTCCGGTTTACAAAAATCAGTAAGAAATTGACAAAGAGTTTCTTTTGAATTGATGGAAATGTTCCACATTGAATCCCAGCATTCAATTGATGTTACATTTCGACATCCACCACAAACTACCAATGATTGCAACTGTACACCAAATAAATCCTGAATAACTGTTGACAAATAATTAATGTTTGGAGTCCAATGGATGGGTGACAGACATTCGGTCATATGAGCAAGAAGATGGTGAAATACTTCCGATGGATCTTCCTGTCGACCGATGACGAAAACAGAAGAAATTTCATGAATTCGACGAGCTAAAGGCTCAGCAGTTGCTTGTGACAAAGTTGAAAAAGATCGCAATGGTTGTTGCGATTAGCATACATATGAATAACAGTGAAAACAGATTGTAATTCACAAACGGAACAAAATCGATGATCAATCTTCAGTTGGCCTATTTCAAAGGAAAACAAAAGACGATAATATGAAATATCCCTCTAAATTAGAAAGATAATTCAAGTTTTATTCCTTAAAATGCTTGATAATGTCAACTTATATGAGAACAGAGTTTTTTGAACCATTGAGCTCTATTTTATACAAACTGAACAGACTTCATACTGGATTTTTGAATATAGTTCGGATATGATGAATATCTAAAATTTAAATCGACTCAAGCAGTTCGAATCTATGGCATTATTCATTTGACATTAAAAATATTCTTATTTTAACAAACATCACTCAGTTTATTAAAATCCTATGCGACTACAGGATCGAAGGTCAGATAAAGAAAAAATCATTGTCTATATCTAGTATTGTCTTCTGCATGAACCTGAAACTAACCAAAAGGAAACTCTAGGAATAGATTCAACAGACCCTGTGAGGAGCAACTTCTAGTGTTTGTTAAATTTACTTTTGCCAACGTAATGAAATAAAAACATAGATAGTTTTACATATTATTCCTTTTTTCCATAATGAAGTGTGTACTGTCAGTACACAACTAACCGTGTTACGACTAAATGTCATTACAAGGAATTGTCTTACGATAAGTTGTGCATTCGATTAGTTGTCTTAATACCAATAATTAAGTACTCATTCTAGTTATTTTCACTAAAAAATCATCTTGTTTGATAATATTCACGTTGGAAAACAGGTCGAACTCAAGCATGACAATTTCTTTCATGAGAAACATACGTACATTGATCACCATTAGCATTAAAAAGTAACCATTGTGCAAATGGAGCAGTATTTGCTAAGCATTGAAATATGGCATTCAAATAGCATATATTTTGTTGACTCTTTCTTCTTCCACAATTTTCAAGACCGATGCCATGCTGGTTTAAACAAGTCCAATTCATCAAATCCGAAAATGAAGATATTGAAGTTCGATGATATGGTCGCATTGAATGTTTATTAACTGTTTGTTTATCATTGGTAGAAATCGTTAATGATTCAGAGTGATTATTTTGTTCTAAAATTTAATAGAAAAGATTAATATTCCTATAAAGTTATAGGTACTCCAAAAGGTATGCAGACATCCACATATTCTCTTTTGTATTTCTTGGTTCGCGAAGAAAAAGCAAGAGAAAAACTTTTTCTCTATTGGAATATGATACCAACAAATACAGCTCACTTTGCTCGTTCTAGCGGTGTGCAATTAATATAATTCTGATGTCAGAAAAGTGAGCACATAACATATAGGAACATCGAACACTTTCATCAGAGACGTTCTTGTTATTCGACATGATAGTCAAAAAATGCTGATTTTTATAGACAATCTAGTTCGAAGTAAGAATTAGCTATTAATGAAGTAGGAAAAATTTAATCTGTTGTTTCTGCTTCGCCAACCACGGAATACTAAAAAACATGCGGTTGTTCCGACATTTTTTGGAGTTTCTACGTATCAGCTAACTCACGATGATTTTGTACTTTTCCAAATGTACTTTCTGTTTGTGCTGATGTTATATTTTGAAGTTCTGTTTGATATGAATATATTGTATTCGTTGATGAACATGTGTTGGTCATTTGAGTACTTGATCCTGCATCATAGAAAAAAAAAAGAAACGTTTATAAAAACTAAAGAATGTTTTACAAAGAGAACTCACTTTTTGTGGACATTTTGCTTGATAATGCGATGGAATGCAATGATTCTTTACAATGAAAAGTATCATCAACAGCAGTATTGTTGGTGGCTGCGAAAGAGAAATAGAGAACATAAAAATAAATGAAAACAGGTAAATCTTACAACAATGTTTTAGAATATTTTGTTCATGAGCAGATAAAGAATTCTCGATCGGTTTAAGTGGTGATTTGGTAGAAGTCGTTGTTTTCACAGAAATCTAAAGTAATCGTGAATGACGAAATATACGAAAGAATACATTTACTGACCATATGATCAATAGATTCAAACAACTGCTGACGATGTTTCTGTTGAATTTCTCTAAGTTTGTTGTTCATTTTTCGAAGAAAGTCATTAGCCAATGTTTTGATGTCCCTTGCATCTTGAAGTTCATGTATAAGATAAAATGGTACATGGTTAGCAACAGCTACTAAGGATGAATCAATTCCTTGCTCAATTTCTTTCCGACATACGTGCAGAGTACGTTCCAATTTCGTCGAATCTTCAATACCAAATCGTTTATCAACATCTGATGAATTTCCATAAATATCACAATAGATTCGTTCGGCTGAGATTCTGTGTAGATGAGCCACCAATTCCAAAGCAAGACCACGTCCATCTTCATTCCATGCATCCCAGATAGCTGCAGCTCGATTTTGTACACGTTGAAATTTACTTGGTAGTAATGGATTAAGTTTATTTCCGCTAACTGTTCGAATATTGACTTGGTGTGACATGGTCACTAATGAAAATTATCTGAATTTGAAAAAAAAAGACAATTGGTGAAGATATATTATGATAGGTTAATGCAGATCAAATACTATATCAAATAAATACAACTTATGCTCTCTATATGATCTAATTTCATCATTTTCTACAGACTAGATTCATTGAAACATACACGTAGTCTTTCTTTATAAAATGAAGATAAGATGGAGAGAAGCATTTTAATTTAAAGAAATAAATTATTTATTTTCATACAAGAATGGTAAAATGAAAAAATCAAGGCATTTAAGCATCAGAGTGGCCACATATCAGCTGATTTTTCTGTATTCAAAAATAAGAAATTATCCAAAATAGCAATATTAAATAAAAATTTATTGTAGACTTTTTAAATGTACTTTTGAATTTATGTACTATTTGTCAGATATTTAAAACTGAACCTATCCCGTCAAAGTAAGCAACTCTTCGACCTAGTTAGCACACTTAAACATAAAATATAAATTCAAACAAAAGGTTTATCATGCATACAGTTGTTGATTTTCAGCAACAAAAATAATTGTAGTGAAACATGCAATTGACTTGCAAAATATGAGCAGAACTGACAACTTATGATGCTCATTATGAGAGATGAATGCATATATGTTTCTAGTCTATGTTAATTATCGTACTACGAAATGGAAGAAGTCCTAATATGAACAGTAAGTCACTTAGTTAGCAGTTTCATTTAAGTCTACTTCAATGACGTTTTTTCACAACAGATCACTTCACGCAATAGTCATGCTAGTACTTGTTTTCTGCCGTATTTCGAAGATAAATAGATTATCTAATTTTATGTTATGCATACAAAAGCTCTGCTGTTTACTTATGAAGGACACTCGAGATAGATTAACAATCCGATTTCTTCCTTTACTCTCTAACAATAAAATTTTTAGTATGTTGTTCCTATTGTGAATAGATTCAAACTTGTAAAAAATACAGTTACATTTAAACAGGCACCAATTTTGACTTTTTATATTCGAAAGAAATCAAATGATTATTTCCTTACCTAATTCACTAAGTCTGATCGTATTCATAAATCTCAAATTTACCTAAGTTAATTGCAAACAAACTCCTTAATCATGGAGAACATTTTGACAACTTTTCAAACAATTTCTAGTAGACCCTAGAAGCATGCGCTCTTTGATTTGCCTTTTGTTCTATTTTTTATCTCCTTGTTTGACCTCACGAAAAAATTGGACATTTTTTCAAACTTATGATCACTACCATGTAGTATTTAAAATCAATTATCAATTCAATTTACATAAAATGAAAATACAAAGAGTCATTTTATTTCTGTATGATTTTCTATGGAACGCTACACAGTCACACTGAATGACATTACAAACTTTTAGTTTTACCGTTTTGGTGCCAAATATCATAAAATATAAGTTTTTTTTTATTATGAGTATAAAGATTGTAAAAAAAAAGAATAATAGCAGAAGATTAACTTAAATTAGATTGATACAGTTACAAAAGTAATGATGAAAATGATATTTTAAAACTTAAATTAAATGCAAAATCTTATAAATGAAACTTCAATTAGTAAACGTATCTCATAAGTAGTTACCTTCCAACTTAAGCAAGCTCTTAGTCTTAAGAAACGACTTTTGCTAGAGATACATATACTGTAAGTTGATACTACCTTGGTGTAACTTGAACATTGTCTTTACAATCTCAATTGTTCTTTTAATCCCTTTAAATGAATAACTGTACACTTTTTATCTCTCCTTCTTTATTTTTTCTGGCTGCTGCATTACAAGCACTATTCATTGTTTGCTATAGATGAGCACACCAAGGAGAGTAATGACTTCTCAACATCATTTCATTAAGTGAAAAAATTCAATTACTTAATGATAAATATAGTGTTTACGGTTTTTCACAAAGTTAGTTAGCTGAAAAATTGAACATTTCATCTGCTTCTGTATCCAATATTTTAAAACAAAACAGAAAAATAATTAAGTAGCTTTCAAATAAATCAAAAACAAAGTATTAAATAAAAAATCGAAAGTTTTCACATTGTAAAATTTGATAAATACATTTTTGATTGAATCATAGGAGAATGTTCATCAAATTCACATTTGTCAAGTCCAAAACCGTAATATATAAATTGTGAAATAAAAAGAAGTTTTGCATTCTGTTAAATTTGTTTTTGAATTCTTGAATATTCGAGGAAAGAAAGATGAATACCACACGTAATGATCATTGACTATTTCAAAACTAGTAAAGAAGCTGCTATTCTGAAAATTTGTTACATCTTCTAGCAAAGTATAAGATACTTCCTTTAAATGAATATCTTTTGAATCAGAACATTTCGGAATTTCCAACGATGGTCAGTTAGAAGGAATTTTCTGTAGTTCATTTTTTCAATTTTAAGTTTATTAATGTATAAGAAAAAAACCACTTTCGTATTTATAAAGACCAAATTTAAAATAAAGATTTTATAACTCTTTTTTTATCAGGAAATGTAGTCGACATATGTGTTGATGTATCAACAATAGTGAACGTCTTGAACGTTGCTTCAACAAGTAAAACTATGGTAAGAAAAAGACTGATTGTGCGCTTTCAGAAATAAAACTAAAAATACCTACATTAACAGAAACAATACAATATGTTTTTTTTTGTTTGAAATTCTAGAGAAGTCACAATTACATCAATATTTCGTATTCAAAACTGATCAGCACTCATAGTTTTCGCAATAAAAACAAGCAGCTTTAGAACATTTTGTAAAGCAAACTAAATATTATATTTTGCTTATAATATTTTAATTTGGATGTATCAAAATAAGCAAGATGAAAAAATAGGACAAGATATTTACTTGCTGCAGAACTAGTACAGATTTCGGTATACCGGCGGTTTTTGTTATTTGTTCGAAAAAATTTATTTCGTATCTCTGAAGTCGATATATTATGACAAGCATGCCTGAAAAATCTTGATAGTGTTAACAGTGGAGAATGAACTTATAACTTGTAACAAATGCAAAAATGCGGCAAAGTTTAACACACATGGCACCTTTGCTTATATGTGAACATGAAAATTTTTCACACTATCCTCTAAGTTTAAAATTAGATAAAATGAATTCAATGTTCTTTCAGCAACACTTAAACAAGAAAAAAAAGTTCTGCAATAAAGACTAAACATTTCGGTGGAGCAGTATACGGACTCATTTCCATTGATCAATACAATAATGATGTGAGCTCAACCGCCAGTAAATTGTAGATGAGAAACACAAATTATCGAATAGTTCAGATTTAAACTTTCAACGGTTTCATCTTGAATCAATTTCCTACTTCTACCACTGGTAAAAAATAATCATAAATATTCACCGTTGCCAAACAACTGAAATATCCAATTAAAAAAATACTCAAGAAGTTATTTTAGAAAATTTTGTATATTCAACTACTTGTTGATAGTACGTGCAAAGCAATAGCCAATGTTATTAACATTACAAAAGAAAATATGGTATTCTATAGAAAATTAAAAACAATTTTTAAGAAAATAGGATGGAAATCAATCAGTGTTCGAAGAAATATTGTTGGCATATAGAGAGATTCATTATTCCTAAAACATCTGCCATTAATATAAAACTTCAGCTTAAGCTGAGAAACGCATTATAATTGAAAATTTTACTGTAGATAATTCAGGTACACGATAAATGTATTTTCTTTCAAAAGTCTTGCAATTATTTTTAAGATTCTTTATACTAACAGCATAGGATAATCGAATGTAGTTCTCTTGGCAACTTATAATTAGGTCAAAAATATGATGCTTTTTTAGTCGACAGTCGCTAATAAACTTAAATTTGATAACGATGAGAATATTTCAAAATAAGCACGATATATGACCATGCAGCTGTATGAATTCTTACGACATAAATGTTGTTTGAAAATTATTCTAAGATCCAGTCAACATACGATTGACAGCAATTAATCTTGCCACTAATATAACTTTTAAAATCTTTTTTTCATTATCAATGATTAATTTTTATATCTGAAAACAAAAAAAAATAAGTATCAAATAAGAAGAGATTATATGTAAATTTGAAGTAGAACCATATTACTCTTGTCGATAATATTTAAATATTATCGAATTATACTACACTCTTTGAGTTAGTTCAAAATTTGAACCTGAAAAAAAAAGAAAATTAAGAAACCAACAATTCATGTTTACGATGTACATTGCTTGTTATTCTATTATGTCTCTATCGCGTTAAAAAAGAAAAATATCATTTTGGATGGTTGTAAAGCATGGACTTTTCATCTGATTGGCTTATAACTTCTATATGAAGTGAGCCTATTGACTTTGGTTCACATGTTTGGCTCACTTCCGTGGACCTCAAATAGCTTGGATTAAATGCATAGTCATTTAAACGTTAGATTTTAATGTATAACTTAGATAAAACACAGAATAAATATAATAAATATATAAATAAATTTAAACAATAAATTCTTGCTCTTGAATTTAATGATGTTGTTGAATAAAAAGAAAAAGCTTATTAATATATTTTTTTTTCTTTATAAAACTAATATAGGACGAATATCATTAACGTGGACACGAGCAATAAGTTGAGTTGTTTCATCTTTAACCCAATAATGAGAATGTTGTTTTTTAATAATTACTTTGGGTGTAAGAGAATATCTAGGGTCAAGTTTAGATCGTGAACCATGACATTTGATTAAAACTTGATCATTTAGTTGATACATAGGATCACAACGATTTTTATCATAATGTTTTTTATATTTCGATTGTTTATGGATAATGTTATCAAGAGTATCTTGATGAATAATTTTTAAACTCCTCTTTAGTTGAGTATAATATTCAATTGGTTTATGAAATACATAATTAGTAGGTGGTTTATCAGTAGGTAAACGAGGTTCCCAACCAAATTGTAGTTGAAAAGGTGAATATTGTGTAGTTGAATGAACGCCAGTGTTATATGCAAAAACCACTGGTAATAAATATTCACCCCAATTATTATTTTCACGATCGTGAAGTTTAGCTAATTGAGGTACAAATGTAGCATTACAACGTTCAACCATTCCATTACTTTGTGGATGGTAAACAGTCGAAAAAATATGATTGTAACCGATTAATTTTTCCATAGCGTTCATGAGTTGATTACGAAAATGAGTACCCTGATCAGGTAATATAGATATTGGTACTCCATAACGACAAATATATTCGTTGAAAATCGTCTGAGCAGTTGTTTGATCAGAGCAATCAGGTAGTGCTACAGCATTAATCCATCTTGTAAAGTAATCTGTGATACATAGCACATATTGATTACCACGAGGAGTACATTTAAATGGTCCACAAAAATCGATATCAATCAATTGAAACGGACCCTCAGGTGTTTCAATTGGATATAACTGACCAGGTGTCTTAATACGACTAATGTTATGTTGTTGGCATGGTAAACAAGACTTTATATATTGAGTAATAGTGTGCTTCATACCTGGCCACCAAAACTTGTTTTTTAATTTTAAATATGTACGTTGTATACCAAAATGTCCTCCTAAGGGATCACTATAACAAGCTTTAAGGAGAGAGTTGATCATCGATGATGGTAAATAAAGCAATTTAGTTTTTGTGGCATGACGAGAATGCATAGATATTAATTTATATAATAAACCATCATGTAAAATGTATGAATTATTGGTTGAGTGTTGTTGTGTCTCTTTAATTTTATTTTTTATACTTGGATCTTTACTTTGTTCAAATTTAACTTTCTCAATATCAAAATCATTACAAGTAAACGAATAGGAAGAAGATTGAAATAATTTATCACTAACTTGTTCCTTAGCTAAAGATGTTTTTTCTTTTTGATTATTTTTCAAAGAAGTAATAGATGATGATTTCTGTTGTAACATTTGTTGCTTTTTTGACCGTGTAACTACAACATTAACAAAAGGAGGTTTATTATCAGAAACATACGCCGTATTCGGTGGTTTCCCATCAAATAACATACTTATCTATACTCTTCATTAAATATTTCTTCGTCATGTTGAATAGGATGCCGAGATAAATAATCGGCTAAGCAATTATTTTGACCCTTAATATGAATAACTTTCTCAATATTATATTCTTGTAATAATATGGATATACGATCTACTAGTTGATTCTTCACAGATGAATTCATCATATTGTATAAAGGACAATGATCAGTATAGATTATAATAGATCTACCAAGTATATAAGATCGCATACGTTGAAAACATAACCATATAGCTAAAGCTTCTAATTCAATTGGGTCATATCTTCTCTGCGTAGAGGAGGTCACTTGGGAATTATAATATAAATTTTTTGTTTCTTCATTAATAATTTGTTGTAATGTACCACTAATGCCAAGTTTCGATGCATCAGTTGTCAATATAACTGGATAATTATCATTCTGAAAATCAAGAAATAATGGAGAATTAGCCAATAGTTGTTTTAATTGTAGAAATGCTTGTTTCTGTGACTCTCCCCAAGTAAATTTTTTTCTATTAGGCTTTGTTAAATTTGTAATGCTATGAATAGGTGCTGCAATTGTTGCAAATTGAGGTATAAATTTGCGATACCAAGATAATACACCAACGAATTTGTTTGCTTTAGCTAATGTATTAGGTTCAGATAATCTAATAATGGCTTGAATTTTTTCATCAGTTAGTTTAACACCAGTTGCAGAAATCGTATGTGATAAATAATCAATTTGTTGTTGAAAGATACTGCATTTGGTTGGATTAAGTTGACAATTATGTTGTAACAAGATCGATAATACTTGTGTAATGTGATTGAGATGATCATCGAATGATTGAGAATAAACCACAATATCATCGATATAAACTAATGCAAATTGCCGACATGAAGATAATATATCAGCCATAATTCGTTGAAAAGATGGTGGACTATTCTTCAATCCTTGAGCTAAAACATTCCATTCGTAAAGACCATCTGAAGTAATAAATGCAGTTTTATATTTGTCTTCTTCTGTAATTGGAATTTGCCAGAATCCACTTTTCATATCCAATTTGGAAAAGAATTGATAACCACCGTCTAATATCTGGATCGTTTGTTCCATATTTGGTAATGGATGATTATCTTTGATAGTAATATTATTTAATTTTTTATAATCAACAACCATTCTCCAGGTACCATCATATTTAGCAACAAGTAATGCAGGTGCGGCATAAGGTGAATAAGATGGACGAATTAAACTAAAATGTAATAGTTCTTGTGTGATCTTATGCATTTCTTCTTGTTTGAGCGGTGTAGAATAATATGGTTTGGATGTTGGTGGTGAATGATTCAATGTTTTAATTTCATGTGACTTTAAAGTAGTAGCGATGGTTGGTTTACTAGTATCAAATAATTTTGCATGTCGATCAAGAACAATTTTTACTTCATGTCGTTGTTCATCATTACCGATATGTTGAATCAAATTAACAATGTGTCTATTTACTAATTCGCGATCAATGGTTGGATCTTTTGTAAAAAAATAAAGTAGGAATAGTAGTTGTTCCTAAAAGAATTCCTTTAGGTAATGAATAAGAATAAGTTGTTGGATTATGAAGTGAAATAAAAGAAGTATGATGATTAATAGCTAATGTAGAGTTTAACATAAGTAAAGGTATTCGTCGTTGTAAATTGAAAGATGGACGAAATAATACATTTGCTGATGCTAATTCGACTGATACAGGAACTAAAACAGTGCGTTTTGGTGGAATTCGAATGTTATTGATCACACGTGCTGGATAACGAATATTGTCTTTATTAACATCGATTTTTAGTATGATTTGTTTGTTGTTGTTACAAACTGACACTGTTTGTTCCCTTGTATTAATAATTAATTTATATTTATTAATAAAATCCATGCCCAATATACAATCAGCACATAATTCTTTAAGAATAAATGTACTAATGAAGGTTTGCATGTCACCTAAAGTTATATATAATTTAATTTCACCATAAACCGAGATAGATTTATAACCGTCAGCTAAAAATACACGACGATATTTTTTATTAACAAATTGTTTACCATGTGTGGAATGAAATGTTTTCATTGAAATAAAAGATCTATTTGCACCTGTATCTATCATCATCTTCATACATTGATTATTTACAAAAGCAGTAAGGTATAACAGAGATATATTTAATGCCGATGGGTTATTAGATAAAGAGCTGGAAGCAACACCACCGACCGATGCTTCCATTAATCGAAATGGGAACGGGTACAATCCCGAGCATTATTGGCCGGGAGTACCACATGCATAGCAGATAACTGATGATTGTTTTGACGATGCATTACGTGAGCGATCTGGAGATAAAAAAAATTTTTATTTAATGAAATGTGCTTACCATATGATTGAGAAGTATGTGATTTTGGATGTTGGTCATCATTACGTGAATAACTGTTACGTTGTTTATGAAATGTATTAGGCTTTGGCAGATATTGTTGGATAGCAGCAACACCTTGATACTCGTTATATTGATTTATCTCATAATTGACATCAGTAAATGATAATGTGTCTTCTGCCTTCCTTGCGTAGGATAAAAATGATTCAGTCGTTTGCGGATCATATAAGGTGATATGTAATTTCAATGATTCCTTAACACCCGCCATAAGATATTGTACTTTCATAGAATCAGGCATAATCGGATCAATTCTCTTACATAATTCCATAATTTTATCATAATATTGCGTAATTGATTGATTGACTGATTGTACAGGGCGTCCCAAAATTATAGAACCCCCCCTTTATTTTTGAAAATCTTCAGCAAAGATGAATAGCTAGATCAAATCGAAATAGTGATTTAGATAGCCCTTGAAATTCTCTATCGAACATGGTATAGACTAAAATTTTAAAAGAAACTTTATGAAGAGAATCGTCTCGAAGAACCGTGTCACTGTAAATTCAAGTTTTCGAAAAGTTTGAAAAAAAATATTTTTAAATACAGCCATCTGAAATAGCAAAAAATTCTGAGCAAAATGAAGGGTTGCCCAGATCTCCATGATGTTTCGTTGCAAAGTTATAAGCATAAAAAAATTCGAAAAAAGCATGTTTTTAACCGAGTTTTTGCGTTTTTTTGATAAATTATACAATTTTTCGAATTTTCTGATGCTTATAACTTTGCAACGAAACATCACCCATGAAAAAAAAATTTATAAAATTTTGCGTCGAAACGCGTTTTTTTATTGGCTCGCATGTTTTCGCTAGACTTTAAACGCAGTTTTAAAATGCGTTTAAACGCGTTTTTTGAAGTAACAAAAAGCATTCCATAAGACTAAAAAGGCCTAAAATTTTTGAAAAAAAAATGTTATTTTCAAACTCAATCATTGTCTGCAAGGCACTTTTACAGAATTCGTATCTCCTCTGGGAAAATATTAGTCTATCAATCTACTGTAGCTGTAGTTCACACTGAACGCGTTGCAACGCATCTATTTGTTACGGTAGAGGAGATTCGATCAGAAGAACTTGTAATTACGAAGTCTAGAATATACCACTAGACTATACTTACGCATTTGGGATACTGTTGAATTTTCTACTTAAATTAAGAAATAATTTTCTACGCGAAATTATTATAAAATTAGGGCTGTCTTTTCCTATTATTTAAAAAATTGAGATACATAATCTTTTATAATTTATATTAAAAAATAGACTGGATTTCTTTTTATTTAAAATTTTAGTAAATTAATTTATTATATTTTATACTTTAATAAATATAAATATTCTTCTTTTAACTTATACTTGAAAAAAATTCGACTTACGAAAATATAAAATTTTCGAAATAAAAATATTTAATTTATTTCAAATATAAATGATAATAATTTATATTTATTTATAAAGATATTGTTTTTATAATTCAGCTTATCTGCAAATGAAAGTACAAGAAAAAAAATTGACACGCTTATTTTTAATGTATTCTTTGCCATCCATATGTAAAAATCCATTCCGTAGTGCTTGTAAAAGCCTCATTTTTACAAGAAAACGCATGAATTGAAATACAAGTTCGGAAAACTTTATTAGAAAAACCGTTTTCCAGTAAAAAAACGCGTTGAAAAATATGCGTTTAGGTACATTTGTAAAGAGANGTATTTATTATAAAGTGCATGGTAAATGACACCCTGACTTAATGATAAGCTTTTTTGCATGTTATAGAGGTTTCATTTAATTTCTATAAGTTTTTTTGATACGCATGGAATCTGCCTCTCGAAGTCTTGTGAAGTCTTTTGAAATCTTACGAAGTCTTGTGAAGTCTTGTGAAGTCTTGTGAAGTCCGATGAAGTTTTGTGAAGTCTGTAGAAGTTTTATGAAGTCTTATGACGTCTTATTAGGTCTAATGAAGTCTTATGAATTCTCATAAAGTCTTTTGAAGTCTCATGAAGGCCGTGACGTCTCAAGAAGTCTTTTGAAGTCTTCAGAAGTCTTCTGAAGTCTTGTGAAGTCTTGTGAAGTCATTTGAAGTCCTATGAAGTCTTTTAAAGTCTTGTGAAAATATGAAGTCACTGCTGCTGAAGTCCGTTGAAGTCTTTTGAAGTCTTGAAGTCTTGAAGTCCGCTGTTTCTCCCTTAAATATTTGTGTAAATTTAATTATTTTCATGGGGTGAAATTTTCGAAAAAATTTTCATTAGTTTAAAAAACATGCACGAAAGTGTCCGTTTCATGCGGAATCATGGCATGTTTTTCACTTTCGACATGATGTCTTTGTGGAACATTTTTCATTAAAATGATGTAAATTACATCATTTTTCGCCATTTTTTTTTATGGGCGTCCCGACACTGGGTATTATTCAATATTTTTTTTTGTTTTAAAGCTCTGAATCAGGGCTAACTTTACATCAGACGGATTTTTGATACATTTCTCCTGGGCTGAGAAAAGTGGAATTTACTGTCGCTCGAGTGACGTGTTTGTGCAGACCTGCCCAGTAAAATGGTCATAAAAAATGAATGGAAAGGAATTTCGAAAATCCGTCTGACAAAAAGTTGCGCACAGTAACTAGCTTTATTTTGACGCGCCATCCTGAGCTCTCTAGCCGTTGCTACGGCTGAGTGATTCCCATTTTTCTGGGAGGCATGAAAACAGGCCGTAAGTTCGATCTACTCGGGTGTATCGAGCTGAAATTTTTATCACAAGCATATCTCACCAGGATCACTTGTTCCTGAAAGTTTCAGCCAAAATGGTCCATCTTAGGTGAGAAATCGTTTCTGAGGGAGGTGGGGGGGTCCCCTTAACAACAACAACAAAAAATTGGAAATTGGGCAACCAAAGCGGAGGGTAGACAAAACCAAATACTTACAGACAATAATAAGAGGAAGTCAACGAGTTACATTTTTAACTGGAGATCACTAATGAATGTTTCTGACAGAATATAATTAATTCTCTCTTATTTCTACATGTTAATCTATTGCTCTTGGCCAATGAAAAATTTTAAGCATTACAATCGATTAAAATTTCAAAATCCTATGAGCCTAATCAAAATTATAATAGATATGAATTGATTAGAAGGTTCTAATAATCGATTGATACTGATTATAATTTTGATTTTGTTGCACAAAAATCGGATTATTGATTTCGATTATTTCCATAGGATTTTGAAATTTTAATCGCTCGAATTTTTCACTGGATTGGTACCTATTAATTTATTCCAATTTATTATAACCTATTAATCAATTTTAATTTATTATCACTTCTTAACCGATTTGGATCATACACATCGAAGATGAGTGCTTTTCTCGAGATCCGAATGCGTTACCCTAATTTTTCATTATTTTTCTGGATTGCTCGTGTTTAGAAACTACGAAGTTGTCACCAAGCTAAACTTCAGCAAATGAAGTAAACTTGGAACTATTACATAAATTGTTTCAAATTGAGATGGAGCAATTACATCAAAAATCGATTAAAAATTAAAAAATGGATTTAAATTAATTGAAATATTTTAATCAATTGTATGCATATTTTTACCTTTTTCTACATAATATTTCTTTGTATATAAAATGCTTTTTGTAATTCGTATCCTTACAGATTTACTCACTCATCTCATGTGCGCCTTCTATTTATGAAAATTATCCGTTTCACTTTATTACTAGTTTTTGGACTCGATTAAACATGATTTATGTTTTGAAAGGACGCTCTATTGATAAAAAGCAATTTTAATCGGATTATTTTGTCTAAATTAAGTTTTGAAAAGGGCACTAATATTGTTCATGATCATGCATATCTTGTTTGTTCTAAAACTTTTGTCTTAATAAATATTACACGACATTTTTATCTACCGTAGTCTTGATAGGAATTTATATTCCGTCCAACATGCCTGGTATTAGTCCAAATCATTTGGTCCTATATAGCTCTTGCTGATATTCTCCAACATCTTAATAATTGATTGAATAGATTAGGATCGATAAACGATTAAAATTAAATTGCTACCCTAATAATCATTGATGATCAAATGAAAATCTCTGAATTGGATTTTTATTGTTTAAGATTTTCATCGATTAAAAAGATCAAAATCGACTATCGATGAAAATTGAATTATAGACGAGATAACCAAGAATAATCGATGAAGTAGATTATTTTTGTCAATTGATTCATATAATTTCAATCAATTTTAATCGGATTTTCTCTGAAAAGTGGGAGATCCATCCAAAAAATGAGATTTTGACACCACTAATCAAAAATAATCGTGATTTTCTCATAAATATTTTTCACTGGGTGATAGCTTCTATCACTTTAGTTCTTTTTGTTATTTTAACTTGGCTACTATTTTTAGAAACATATTATATTATAATCTAGGATTTAAATTCGATTGACAAGTCTGCGTTGTATCATATACATATATCCATGCGTATAATATATTATGCGTTTTAAAATAAAAAGTCATTTGATTTTTTTCTGCTCTCTTTTGTTTTTTGATAGAGTTTGAGACATAAATACGTATTAATGTTATTTGCTGTGTAAGATTACCTATGCACAAATCACTCAGGTATATCATTTCATGTGCCTCTTCTGTAAATACATTCGCGATAGAGTGTATGGCAAAAAAATGAAAATAGAAAAAAAATCAAGCAAATTAACAAAGAATAAGAAACGTATAAATTTGCCATGCTGCATACGTAAAAACAAATCATTTGACAAAGCAAATAAATTGTTTTATATAAATAACATCAAGCTTAATCCAGTGTATTTCAACACGGAAAATTTTCTCGATATATTGAATTTATTTTTTTTCGCTGCAGTAAGTAATCTAGTACATTGATGCCAGAAGTAAAAACAAGCTTATTAAATCACACACACACATAATGTCAATAAGATCTGCATGCTAGTCATGTTTAAGATAGATATGAAATCGATCTCAATAATGGACTTTTCTTTTGGTATCTAAATTAGTCACAATTCATTGATGATTTCTTTATATTGCGTACGACACAATATTTAAATCTTTATTTGGATAGGGATGCAGATTAAAAAATTGCTTCTTCAAGCGCTATGTTGAGGTTAATTTAAAATGCTTCGGATCGTATAGTAATGAAAACATAGAATGTAGATGGGTGTTGACCTTCGGTTGTAAAGTGATAAATCAACAACATGCATGAAATGCCGGCTTTAATATTTGTTTTCTTATTTTATCACCTTTTTTATACCACAACTCTCTGTAGTATTTTATGATAATGGTTCTGAGCAACACTCGATATTTAGATATCGACGAGTCACATGCCATGCTTGTGTTACTAACCATAAGTGTTATTCTTTTACTACTTCTATATGTCAAACTCAAATATTTTACTCTTCGTGGCCCTATACCGGGTCTATCACCACATTTTCTCTTCGGTAATCTAATTCAATCTGGTATGCTGCTGAATGGTAAGCCTCCACCTGCAATCTTCGCAGAATTCAAATCTCGTTATGGGGATATTTATCAATTTTGGTTTGGTCCTACTCGTTACATTGTCGTTAGCAATGTCAATGATATTCAGCATATATTTACCCATCGACATATTTATGATCAAGGCAAGATTTTCATTGAACAGTTCAGTATTCTATTTCCAAGTGGATACGGTACTTTAACAGGTTAGCCTGTAGTTTTTTTTGATAAAGAAATGACTTTTCTTATTTTTTTTGTGATGATTAGGATTCCAACACAAACGACATGCAGCGATCGCTATGCCCTTGTTTCGTCGTGCTAAAATTATCAATAATTTTGATATAATTGTCGACTGTACCGACAAACTTTTGCCTAATTGGCGTGCAAGTCCGAATCATCATATACATTGTGACATTGTGCGACGATGTCAAAATCTTCTACTTGAAATATTTGGCTGAATCAGTTTTGACTATAATCTGGATACACTCAACAAATATGACGCGAATCAAAATGAGCTCACGAAGGCACTTCATGTATTTATGAGTTCGTGTAGATTGGTATTGTTTTCGCCACCTATAGTAGGTATCATTTATACACATCTCAGCTATCGACATCGACAAGCAAAGGCTATTATTGATCGTTACATATATCAGCTAATGGACCATGAAATGGCTCAGACTGCAGAGTCAAGAGCACAGCGAAAGAGAATATTTTTGATTGCTTCACTCATAGATTCCTTGCAAGAAGACGAAGAAGCAGAGGCAAAAAAAAGTGAAGGGTCAAAAAAGAGGTAAAAGTTATTTTTCTACTATTACAAAACCATATTTATGACTACCGAAGTATTCTGACTTAGACGAAGCTCCTCCGTTCAGAATCATGACTTGGCTTCGTTCAAAAATGTTTTTGTGTGCTTTGATGGAACCCTTCTTGAATCGTTTCAGAGTTCGTAAATTGAGCATTACAGTAAGCGATCATATGCTTGATATAAGTTTTCGATAGTCACGTTGAATGTTTCAACAATTTGCTCAAATAGAATGGAACTTTTCACTGTCTCGCGTGTGCAAGAATCTATAAAGAAGAGAAACAGTTTCAATTGAATATCTTTGTTGGTTTTTGAATAGGTCTCTCACGAGTAGAAGTGTTACAAGAGATCCTAGTTTTTATGGTTGCTGGCTTTAAAACGACGTCTACCGGGCTGGCCTGGCTCATTTATGCGATGAGCAAATATCCTGATGTGCAGCGCAAAATCAAGGAAGAGCTGATGAGTATTGGTGATAATCAGATTTTGACATTAAATCAGCTTGATTCTTTAGTCTGTTTGGATTGTGTTATCAATGAAACGCTGCGCTTTTATCCAGTTGGTCAGGCAACCTTCCGTACGTTGACAGTTGACGATCGTCTTCCTGAAAATAACGTTCAATTGTATAAAGGCAATACAGTTGTCATTCCATTTAACACTCTGGCACATGATCCTCGATACTGGTCAATCGATCCTGAACGTTTTGCTCCAGAGAGATTTTTAGGCGAGGATAAAAATCATCATCCATACGTACTCATTCCGCTCGGTGGTGGTCATCGTCAATGTATTGGACAAGATTTAGCACGGTTCGAACTTAAAATGATTATCGCAAGAATGTTGCAACAAGTTACATTTGGCGATGATGGACAGAAAGTTAATTCAGGTGGACATGTAACAGGTCTCACCATTACACTGAAAAATGTTGGTGTTACCATCGAGTTTCCATGATTAAAATGACTTCACGAGTTTGCAATTCATTTTCGAACATTCTAATTTAATTCAGCGTTATATTTAATCATTACTAATAAATCACGGATTTTTTTTAGATAAAAAGAAGAAAAGAATATCAATGATAATTATCTAGACAAAAAATTAAAACCTTCTTGCTGTTCGTTCAAGTCGAAAATACGAAGGTCTCACCGACACGCATCATTGAGACTCGATACATAGAGAAAAATTTTTTTCTCTTTCAGCAATTCTCATTTACAATCAATGAAAGTTTATTCACATTATTCTCGATAATTTATTACAAGATTTAGTTGATGCAAATTAAATTTTCCAGTATTCGCCCACCTATTTATTCTTCTGTTATCTATTGAAAAGTCATCTTACGTTCACGACTCTTTATTATATTGCTAGATTAGTCTAAATAATTCGATCGATTGTTTGAAAGGACTCAACAGTTGAAAAGGCGAACCATTTATGTGAAGTAACATCAAAAGTCGAAAAGGCTATTAGCTGTGACAAAATGATACCAGTGAGCTAAAACATGGGTGAAACAAGTTCCACCTGTTACCCAAAAGCTTGAAGTTAAGACATTTACACCTAGGCAATTCTTCTGTTTTTAGTTTTAACTCGAGCATTGTGTGATGGCAAAATGCCCCATTGATTTGAGAATAATAAAAATGAACATAACATTGATTATTTTGTATATTACATTATGAAAAATCGTTACTACTTTATCAGATTGGTTATTTGGTCATTAACATTGGTGTCTGCAAAGAGAACTTCAAGTCGTTCATACCTAACGAACGATGACTTTCTAACTCATCGAAACTAAATTTCTTAGATTACTCTATTTGAAATAATGTCAATACAAACAACAATTATCCAAAAATCAAAAAAACTAGTTTCATTTCAGTCCTTTTCTTTTTGCTTTATGAGTATTCAGTCAGTGTTTGCAGTTATTTTTTATGCACCAGATCATACACCAAATATTTAAATATTGGATAATTTTCGTTCATATTATGTTTGGATATTTCAAATGCATGGTTATTTTTCCCTTTATTTATTTCCAAATACGATTCGACTAAAATATTTTGTCATGGAGAAGGTTATTCTCATTTGGGTGTGGGTGAGTGGGTGTGGGCAAGGGGAAAAAACGGACCCTGGATCCTCGGATTCTTATGGTTCCTGCGGATCCTGACGGATCCTAATGGCTCCTAATGGAATCTGATGAATGTTAGGATTAATTATTTGAAGGGTGCCAGAGTGTGGGTGGAAGAAACTAATCCTCATGAATGCGATGATCCATTAGAGTCCAACGGAAATAAATGAAAAAAGGGATTAGTGGCTTCAGAAGTTGAGACTAAAAAGAGAAAGAAAATCCTGGACACTGAGATGCTTATGTCTCAATAACTTTTGTCATATCATGATGGATTCTGCTCGTTTTTAGGACACATCAGGATCTACCATTTGTCTATCGATATCATACTATTGTGTTGCTTATCGGTTTCTGCTGCATTCTAGTTTTCTCTGATAGATTGCTGTCATGTTTTATTCAGGATTCCGTTTCTAAGTTTAATAATATTGTATTGCAGGATATTTCATTGTGAAAGAGGGATTCTTCTCAGTATCTTTTCAAGTTCCTTGTCAGACTTCTCTATTATTTAATAAAGAGGAGTCCTACTAGGATTCACACTCGAACTTGCTCAAGGGCTTAATAGAAATTGCAGGATGAACGCCGATCAGGTTTTATCAATGTTTTACTAGGATTTGTTCTGTATCTCTGCGATATGATTCTCTCAGGTCTTACGACTAAATTAGGCAAAGATCCTATAAAAAATCATGCAAGAGCAGTAAGAATCATCATCTTGTGGGTCTTGCCAAGGTCCAATTATGATTCTATCTCATTTTCTCACGCATTTCTAGTACGAATATCTCTTCTGAGCGTTTCCAAGGTTCTCTTGATATCACTTCAAGGACAAGTATTTCGAATCCTTCATAAAGAACGACAAAGATCGCCAGGATCTATGTGAAAAAAATATCGAGGCTGAACAAAGATCTTTGAAGTTTTTCATTTCAAGTCAGATGAAGACTTGATCTTCAGGATTCTAACATGATTTACGACAAATGTAGTTAAGGATTTGGAAAAGAATTATGAAATCGTTCCAGAAAAATTGTGACTAGTTCGTATTTAAGATTTTTTGCATATTTTTGACTAACTGAATCCCGGAAAATTACACTGTGTGTCTTAAATCAAATATTAACAGAAAAAATCTGAAAAGCCACTCCAAATTTTACTATATGTTGTGTTTCGGCTCTGACAGGAATCGAATTTGAGAAGAATTTTAGAGGATTTTTCTTCAAAACCTTTAAGATTTGTATTCTATATGATATGACATTCATAGCATGGAGTTCAATAATGATAAGAATTTTATTTTCACATGAAACTTGAAAATTCATTGAAATGGATACTTGAGTATCACATTAAATGTTGCGATAACTTTGTCTTTACGAAGACGTTTTTAGTAAGAGACGATTTCTCTAGTAAAACTCGCACTGGACTCAATTTATTCGCATCGAAAAAATCAGAAAAATACTATTTTATTCAAATTGAAATCGACCACTCATTGTAAAATCTCAAGATAAGTTGTCAATATATTAAGTTCAACATTAAATTTTCCGATTCTTTCTAGAAATAATTTACGTTTACGTAAAGTTCAAATGATAATTAATAGTCCAGAGAGAAGACACGATATGAAAGCTTTAAGTTAAATTAAATAACTTGATACAGCCTACGGCGGTGAACTAATTAGCCTGTGAACCGAAGATCTACAAGTCAACATTGGATGCTCGCATTTCTCCTCTTTTTTTGCTTAGAGAAGCCTGCAGACATCATGACAAGACATTGGATAACATTCCTCAACAATCGTAGTGACATTCTGTTAGGTGAAATCAGGAAATATTTTCCCAATTAGAAATCATTGAAATGCTGACAAGGTCTTGACAAGAAATCTACGCGAGTAGGCTCAGAATGTCTCTTATATCTTGTTCTAATTCTAAAAGATATGTTTATTGGGTGTGGGTGTTGGCATTCTCTTTGCGAATATCCACACCCACACCCACACCCTCATGTATAAGATAAAATGGTACATTGTTAGCAACAGCTACTAAGGATGAATCAATTTCTTGTTCAATTTCTTTCACACATACGTTCAGAGTACGTTTCAATTTCGTCGAATCTTCAATACCAAATCGTTTATCAACATTTGATGGATTTCCATAAATATCATAATAGATTCGTTCGGCTGAGACTCTATGTAGATGAGGCACGAATTCCAAAGCAAGACCACGTCCATCTTCATTCCATGCATCCCAGATAGCTGCAGCTCGATTTTGTACACGTTGAAATTTACTTGGTAGTAGTGGATTATGTTTATTTCCGCTAACTGTTCGAATATTGACTCCGTGTGACATGATCACTAATGAAAATTATCTGAATTTGAAAAAAAAAGACAATTGGTGAAGATATATTATGATAGGTTAATGCAGATCAAATACTATATCAAATAAATACAACTTATGCTCTCTATATGATCTAATTTCATCATTTTCTACAGACTAGATTCATTGAAACATACACGTAGTCTTTCTTTATAAAATGAAGATAAGATGGAGAGAAGCATTTTAATTTAAAGAAATAAATTATTTATTTTCATAAAAGGATGGTAAAATGGAAAAATCAAGTCGTTTAAGCATCAGAGTGGCCACATATCAGTTGATTTTTCTGTATGCAAAAATAAGAAATTATCCAAAATAGCAATATTAAATAAAAATTGATTGTAGACTTTTTAAATGTACTTTTGAATTTATGTACTATTTGCCAGATATTTAAAACTGAACCTATCCCGTCAAAGTAAGCAACTCTTCGACCTGGTTAGCACAGTTAAACATAAAATATAAATTCAAACAAAAGGTTTATCATGCTCATTATGAGAGATGAATGCATCTATGTTTCTAGTCTATGTTAATTATCGTACTACGAAATGGAAGAAGTCCTAATATGAACAGTAAGTCATTCAGCAGTTTCATTTAAGTCTACTTCAATGACGTTTTCGCACAACAGATCACTTCATGCAATAGTCATGCTAGTACCTGTTTTCTGCCGTATTTCGAAGATAAATAGATTATCTAATTTTATGTTGTGCATACAAAAGCTCTGCTGTTTACTTATGAAGGACACTCGAGATAGATTAACAATCCGATTTCTTCCTTTACTCTCTAACAATAAAATTTTTAGTATGTTGTTCCTATTGTGAATGGATTCAAACTTGTAAAAAATGCAGTTACAGTTAAACAGGCACTAATTTTGACTTTTTATATTCGAAAGAAATCAAATGATTATTTCCTTATCTAATTCATTAAGTCTGATTGTATTCATAAATCTCAAATTTATCTAAGTTAATTGCAAACAAACTCCTTTAATCATTGAGAACATTTTGACAACTTTTCAAACAATTTCTAGTAGACACTAGAAGCATGCGCTCTTTGATTTGCCTTTTGTTCTATTTTCTATCTCCTTGTTTGACCTCACGAAAAAATTGGACATTTTTTCAAACTTATGATTACTACCATGTAGTATTTAAAATCAATTATAAATTTAATTTACATAAAATGAAAATACAAAGAATCATTTTATTTCTGTATGATTTCCTAAGGAACGCTACACAGTCATACTGAATGACATTAAAAACTTTTAGTTTTATCGTTTTGGTGCCAAATATCATAAAATATAAGTTTTCTTTTTTATTCAGTAGTGTCGAACTTGAAACTTGAATTCAATTGAAATTTCAACTTTCAAGTCGTTTCGCGACGGCTCCTTTTCTGGGCAGTCCTTTCCCGGCACCCTCACCAGCTGCGATGTGATATAGGTCGTCTCGTGATCAGTCCTTTTCTGGCCAGTCCTTTCGCAGCACCCTCACCAGGTGCGATGTGATGTGNGCTAGCTCGGCACATTCCTAATTATTTATGAAATTGAAATTAATATTCAAACATCTCCGAAAATTTTTGTTACCTTTCTAATTCGTTCGAAAATAGCATTTCTGGAAAACCGGATTCAAACTCTATTTTACGGAAAAGCAAGCGTTTTTCTGAAACTTTTAAAATCGTTAGACGATCAATAAAGATTTGAAAACGCTAGAGTTTTTACAAACTAAGATGTGGGTGGGTGTGCGTGTGGTGTGGATGTTTCGTTTCTTTTCCTTTTCACCCACACCCACACCCTTTTCTGTTCATTTGAATTACAATCATTGAAGGAGTTCAATAGCTTTGTGTTCTTCTTGTTGTCTTCATTTTTTCATTAACTACATCAAATTCAAATGTTTTTTTTTACATTTGTTGAGGAAAGTTTTAACGGATATTTCTGGTGTTGATTCGTTCACTTAGTGCATTTATGTTATAATCAATTGTATCGGTAAAAGTTTTGAGTATACCAAATGTTCTAAACAAAAGAAATGTTTAAAAAATGACATTGAATATAATCGACTTACCCATCATCGTTTACAAATATGTTAACATCAATACCAAATATATCTTCGAAGACTCCTAAATACTATAAAGATACAGCTGATGCACATACAGAGGACTATTATTTTAAAATCTTAGAACAACTTGCATGTAGAAGAATGTTTCAGCATTAAAAAGGGTACAGAATCATTTGAGATCATATTTAGTATATATGGTATTGACTCGATCTTCAGCATCTCTCAAATATACAAAATTTTTCGGTTTCTATGTAAAAAGAGTCAATAACATTTACGCAATAAATAGTTTCTTACCTGTTGTTGTTGATCAAGAACACGAAAGTGATTTTTGATCATATACCAGTGCTACACGCTGATTAAAAACTTCCATTTGGACCGACAGTAATTTTTATATCGAGCAAGGACAGTTTATAAAAAATCATATTTATCCATCTGAAGCAAAAGTATTAGCATTTACGTCGTTTTCGAATCTGTTTTACAGTAAAAGGTTTATCGGCATAGTGTAACGTATGTCCAACAAGACGATTTGAATGCTATGATGACCATGCACATCTATTATGTAAAGCAAAAAAAACATGAACATAATGATCAAGGAAAAATGAACCAAGATTAGAACCTTGATTGGACCAATATGTTTGATGTTTAATTGTACCTAAAAGTATATTATATTTTATTAACATAGATAAATTAAACAAGACCTAGTTCATTTGATGCTACTATTGTAATTAATTCAATCATTTCATCTGGTGCTTTTGAAAAAAATAGTCTATTGTTTTGAACGAATAAGACTTGATAATAATCTTTTGCAGTTTTCTAATTGATTAATATATTCAATGGCTGAATTGACGCATTACTTTTGTTTCTTTTTCAGCAAGTAATTCAATTAAATTTGGATTATCTTCAAACTATTTAAATAATTTTTTCTTATTCCGTATCTTCATTATTTATTATCTTCTTTAATTAAATGAATAACAGCAATAGGTTAATAACAAATTAACTTTGAACGTAATAAAGATGAAGAATAAATTTGTTCAAAACGTTTTATTGACCATCATGATAAAAGTTCGAATATTTGATCTTTAAAACAAAATGGTATTGAAGAGCCGTGAAGATTAAATTGATCATGAGAAAATGATTCATTTAAATGACATAAAAGATTATAAAAAAATCAAGATTGTTTTGAACATTCAGTTTGATGAATATTTGGAAAATTTTCATGTTTTATACTAAACAATAGTTTGATTTATTTGATTTATTTTTTAAAACAAAATGAACTAACAATCATGGAAATTTTTTATTATTTAATGTTGCAACAATAAATTGATGAATTTATTTTTCATCTTGTTGTAATTGAAGCCAAGTTTTAGCAGCTATTGCTCGTTTTCTTACTGGAAATAAATCATTTTTAAAAATATCTAATATATTCTTTTCGTTCTTCATTAATTTTGGTAAAAGGGTGTGGATGTTATCGCTTTCTAACCGACATCTAGAATTACAATCACACACCCACCCCACCTCACCCTTTAACATACGGTCAATAAAATATCTTTGTGCTCAAATTATTTCTGATGTTGATTATTTTCCAGAGACAGGATAGAGTGAATATCATATTTATTCACACCTATATAAATTGAAATTTCATTAAAATATTACAAATAACTTTCTAGGTGGATTATATAAATAGGTTACTGAAGTGTCATTATTAGATGAACAACCTTTTGAAGATAAATTCTTTCTTTGAATTGCTCAATCATTTCCATTTATGAAAGAATTAACTGTAGTTAATCAAAAACTCCAGAATAAAAACAAATGACTAATTAAAAAATCATGATCAAACTTTATCAATCATCAAATATCCTCATATTACTCTACTTTACCTGTATCATGTCCATGATGATTATATTGAACACTTTCTGATCAATACGAAAATGCGTTTGCCGAATAATTTTCAAAGAAATATAATACGAATGAATTGCGCAAAACTGTTATTTACGTCTATGCGGTGAATATTCGATTCCTGAACAAGTAGAAGACTATTTTCCTTACACAGATATATGCTGATTATGATGAATGATTATTTAAATAAAACATGTCGAAATCAGATTGACTTATAAATAATTAAAGTAGTAAAATGATGAGAAAGGGATGAATGAGGATACTAGTCATTATATCTGAATACTTATCATTTTCAAAGAGATCTTAGTCAATGCATGTTAATGAGAGCTGAATTCTCTTAGCTATATAAATTAATTCAAGATGAAATTTAATGAGAAATTGATAAAAAAATACAACTATTAGTTATATCATTGAAAAATGTCTTTGATAAATATATGAACATCTTTCCTGTGTGATTTCGATCATCTTAATCTTTAGTAAATTGTAATGCAAGTTCAAATGGATGTTTATGACCTTTTCGCCTGTCGAACAACGATATGTTAGATCAACAAAACTTGTCCATTTGACGAGAAAGGAAATAATGATAGAATATCTTTACTGAAAAAACAACAACAATGAGTGTATAAAATACAAGGAAGAAAAAAGTGGATCCTGATGAATTCTACGATTTCTAAGACCGAATAGAATCTATTAGAATCTTATATCTAAATGTCAAGATCTTGACAGTGCTTATCGTGTATTTCAATCAATGAATGAAGGTGATTAAATGAATTATTGTGGTCTAATGACCGGTTTTAATAATTAGAGACGATATAAGAGAAAAACAGTTGAACTTTCAAAATAAATACCATGATCAATAAAATTTTCATCACGAATTCTTTGCACATTTCAGAGTGTGGGTACTGGTTGAAAGTTGCTGTTCACCCACACCCAATCACATATCTATGTATCTTGATTAAAGATTTGAAGAGTATTTTGAAAGTTTGCTTATAGAAGCAAAAGCTCAGTGTATTCAGCTACAATTTGAAAAAAATGTTG